GAACGGACATGTCATAATCCCAGCCACCACACACGGTGAGAGACGAGATAACACATGCCCATGGAAGCCGCATTTGCACACGACTGGATAATTTATATTCTCTCTTGTTTTATATTTATTTATTTATTTATTTATTATTATTATTATTCTTATTATTATTATTATTATGTTAGATTAGATTTTTATCTAATTTTAGGGAATGTATGAATAATTTTGATTTGTCAATGGATTGAATAATCTTTTTTATCGTGGATTAATTAAAAATGAATTTCATATTTATTTTTATTGATGAGTTGATTCATGGTATATGCATTTATAGTTTTAATTATGGTATTTGGTTTTGTTCACCTAGCTATATTGAATATTTATAGTTTATTTGATGAAGACAACTTTAATCCGTAATTGTTATTTTTCTCGTTTTATTAGTAGTAAACTAGTGGTCACACATCTGTAGGGTAGCGCGAACAAGTTAAACGGTCCGATCATGCGTGTCCATTTTTTAGACCAATCTATTTTTCTAGGAATTAATGTTGCTGGTTCACTAAAACTCTAATGGCATGATTGGTCGGAAGGAATAACATGGGAATGAATGATCATTCCCTTACTCATTCCTTATCCCATGATTGGTATATTTTTTAAGAAAGAATGACCATTCCAATGGGAATGGCAAAACCCATCTCCATGGGATTAGCCATTCCATAGTAAATGGAAGGTTTTCTCATTCCCATTTGTGTAGGAATCAATTTTTCAAAAAATAAAATTAACAAATAATAATAAAAAATAAATATATAATATATATTATAAATCATGATTAAAATATATTAAATAAAATTATTTAAAAAAAAATTCAAATAAAAAAATTGAAAACTTACTTTTATTTACTGTTTAATTAAAAAATAAAATATATATTATTAAAAATATATTACTTTTTATTTTTAAATATTATTAAAAATATATTATTTTAAAAAATAAAATTCAAATAAAAAATTGAAAACTTACTTTTATTTACTGTTTAATTAAAAAATAAAATATATATTATTAAAAATATATTACTTTTTATTTTTAAATATTATTAAAAATATATTACTTTTAAGAATATATTATTTTTATATATAATTTAAAAGTATATTATTTTATTTTTATATATTATTAAAAATATATTATTTTTTATATTATTAAACAATATATTATTTTATTTTTATATATTATTAAAAATATATTATTGTATTTTTATATATTATTGAGAAATCATTTATATATAATTTATTAAAAGTATATTATTTTTTAAAAAAAGCTTTTATTTATTTTTTATAATAAAAAATAATAATGTTATTCCATTCCAGTTCTATTCCTTCTGCATACCAAACGCATCAATGACAAAACATGTTTCATTCCATTCCCATAATCATTCCATTCTGCAATTCATTCCATTCCTACGAAATTCCATTCCATCATACCAATCATGCCATAAGTTTATTATAGGATGTGCAATAGTTAGATTTAGACTATATTTGGTTAAACTAGTTGATAAGCTAGTTGATAACTGATAAGCTAGTTTATGGTTATTTCAGCTACTTTATCAGCTTATTTTTATAAACACTTTAACATAATTGGGTGAAATAATAAATTTTGTTTGTACTTTTTTTCTTAAAACTGTAATAGCAAACCTTACATTTTATATTTAATTATTTTCAAACCTGTTCAAAACCTTCCACTAAGGAGGCTCTCGAAAAACTCCACATCTTGGTGCATACTATGGTTTCGATCATTGATCTTTTTGGTGCAAATTTATGGGTAAATTGCGATTTTAATGCCGAGACTAATGAGTAATTTCAAGCCCAGTACTCCACATTCACACTATCTCAATTTCAATGCTCAAACTATGAAACAACTCATGAATTTCCGGACAACTCATGAATTTGATACCCGACCGTTGTTGGTTGCCTGTTAAAACTAAGCTACATATATATTACTATATAATATGGAGAAGAAAAATTATTTGAACAATCCAAAAAAAAAATATTTTGTTTTCCCGCTTATAAATTATGCTTTTCCCACTTAAACACTTTTTTTTTCGAATTTTAAAAAAATTGAATGAGTCAATATTTATCTAACCAATTTTTATTCTTTTTAACACATGTTTTCCTTTATCCTTTTGATTTAAACCCCTACAAGTCCGTTAGTTTAATTGGTATCTTTTCAAAATATTTTTTTCTATATTTCTGTAGAGTATCTAATAATCTTTTGAGTTTGACAGAAGATATTCCTAACACCATTTTTGGAAGAATAATTTCCTTTTGAAACGAAAAAGATGATATGTGACAAAATTGACAATATTTATTAATTTATAATAATAATGTAAATCAATTGAGTATCAATAAGTGCAAACAAATCTTTCTGATTTGGGGCCATTAATATTTTGTATAGATAAAAATTACATTAGATTCTAGCTATATTTAGAAATTTATTATCCACTAAATTCGTGAAAATTAAAAGTAGTTAGCATATTTTTATATATTTTCAAATATTATTAGTTATTAGACAATAATCATAACATTATAAATACCTAAAAAATCGTTCAGTGGTTACATTTGAGATAATTAATGTTTTTTACATATATTTGTACATATAGAGAGTTCGAGATAATTGATTTTTATTCATATATATATATATATATATTATAATATATTATTCTGATCCTTTAAATTTATTTTTAATGTAGTCATTAAATTAAAAAATAGATCTTTCCTTACAAAATCACATATGCGTTTGAATATTTTCATAATTTTTATGCTGGAGATAAGTTAATAAAAATGATTATATATCAAAAAAATACAATGACACGTTATTTAAATCTCTACACATTCCGTTCTTTAGCAAGATAACTGCAAAACTATCACATATCCCAATTCCATAAATTGATCCGTAATTATCGTTTCAAACAATTTCTTATTCCTATTTATTTTTATAAATGTACTATAATTTAATAGCAGACTAAATATTTTGAAAAATATTAAATTAAACATTCAAAGAAAGCAATCACATGCAGATTTTTCTTGAATGCATTACATCTTATCTTAACTTACATATAATTATATTGGTAATAATTCAACATTATTCCACGTTATTCCCTTTATCCTTGTCTCCCTTCAAACTCAATATATATATATATTCATCGTCGGCTGCCCGTAGTCCGCAGCCGGCTAGGTTGCGTCCATGGCTTGTAGGCGGGGCCGGGTTACAGCTAGGGCTGACAGAGGTCAGCGGGCAGACATTATCGGACAGGTGCGGCGTCGGACGTTGACGGCTGAAGGCTGGCAGTTTTTGGTCGTGCATCGAAAAGTCGGGGCAATATTGATGCGGCGTCGGACGTTGATGGCTGAAAGTTATGGCTGAAGGTTGTGTAATTTTGGCCGTGCATCGGGAAGTATGGACAATTGTACGAAGTCTCAGACGGCTGATGATGGTCTGATTGGTTGAGTTTTGGCTCGAAATCGACGACCGAAGGATGACCATACTGACGGGTCAACGAAGCTTAAAGATATGAGGTCGTCGGTGCTGGTGCTGGTTGTTCCCGACTGCTGGACGAAGGTTGTTGATGCTTGGACGTCGCAATGATGCTGCTGACGGGCAGTTGGTAACAAACATGGCAAGACGACGGGCTAAACGAGTGAGATATCTCGATTGTTTTGCGTGGAATACTGGTCGGACTAGAGTGGATGTTGAAGGCGACGAATGGTCGCCTTCAACATGTGTTTCCCGCTTAAAAAATCATGTTTTTCCCGCTTTCAAATATTTCGATATTTTTGTTAATGTGATGTGATGTGATAAGAACGCAACAGATGATCCAAGTTATCTGAAGGACAGAGCCATACTTGCACCTACGTTGGAGATCGTTGAGTCTATCAACCAATACATGTCGTCGTTGAATCTAACAGAAGGTCGTGTATATTTGAGCTCCGACAGTACGTGTAAATCCGATTTGAATTCTGACTTCTTGTCAGAAATCCACACTTCTGAGTTCTTAAATTCTCTCAAGTGTTCTGGTATACCAAATCATGAGTTGCATCTGAAGGTGGGAACTCTGGTTATGTTGTCGTGGAACATGGATCATTCTATGGGATTGTGCAACGGGACACGTTTGGTTGTAACAAGACTCTCCAATAATGTTCTAAAATGTAGGATACTTACGGGCGACCATGCAGGGGATAAAGTGTTGATACCTCGAATGTCGATAACTCTTTCGGATGCAAGAGTACCTTTTAAGTTTATATCGTGGTCTCTTATGCAATGACTATTAACAAGAGCCAGGGTCAATCCTTATCTCACGTTGGTTTTATTCTTGAGGAAACCAGTTTTCAGTCATGGGCCAACTATATGTTGCTGTTTCGCGCGTCACCAACAAAAAGGGTTTGAAAATTCTAATATGTGGTGAACATGATTTACCTCCAAATCAAACAAATAATGTTGTGTACAGAGAAGTTTAATAATATATGATTTCTTTTTTATTTATTTTTTTGTTTCCATAATTAGATGTTAAATTTAATTAATTACATTTAAAATAAGTACTTCAATATGTTTTAAGTTATGCGTCCACCGTGCACCGCACGGGTACATACTAGTTTTTAAGTTATAAAACTAACAAATAAAATTAAAAAAAAAATATAGCAACATAACTAAGTTACATATTTATAAGTTAAAACTAACATTGAAAAAAAAAAAATTATAGCAATGTTGCTCGACAGCCGCCTAGCATATTTCTGGCTAAAGAAAAAAAAAAAGAAAAAGAAAAAGAATAGAAACTGAGAAATAAGTTACATAATTTAGAAAGGCGATATATTATTTCAGTTACATCCTAAAAGCTAAAACATTCAAAAATAGTGTTAACACAATTACATCCCCTTTATAAACTGCTAATAAGGCATACAAATGCACGGCACACGTAGGAATTCGACCTCCCTCCCGACCTCTACTCATTGATGAAAAGCTCAACCAAAAGCTCATATTTCGACTTGAAAGTTGGCACTGGCCAGGCCGCCCAGTCTCTCTAACACTTGGCTCTTATCACGAAGCACAACTCTGACCCGAAGGCCCTCATTCCCAATCTCCTCTTGCTCCTTAGCTATCTCCTTCGCTGACATCACGGCCGAGTCACTACAATCGTTCACCACAATCGATTTCAGTGTCGGTATATTTCCGATTTCCAAAGGAATCTCCTTTAAATTCGGCAAATAGTTGAGAATGAGTTTCTCAAGGCACGGCAAGTGGGCCCAGTTCTCCATCGTCCAGTATACCAACTCACTAAATGAATGAATTTTCAAGACTTTGAGGCTACAAAACAGGCCTTCGACTGTTACCCACTTGCGTCCTTTGCATGAATCCCATTTCAGCACAAGCACCTGAAGATGAGGCAGATGGCCGACTTTGGCCGCCAGGTCATCCCAGACGAGGCTCGAGTTTTCTAAAGTCAATTTCCTTAGGGAAATCGGGAAAATGAGGCCTCGAGCCAGGTCATGGGAATGGTTGACTGGATCTTGAGCGCAATAGAAGTTGCAACAAAGGGATTCGAGCTTACTCAACCGGCATAAACTATCGAGCCCGTAATCGACACGGGACAAGTAAATCGTGTATGGTACCTTCAGATTCAGCTTCTTCAAATTAGGGACTCTCCTCACCATCTCCAAGACCCGATTAGAAATCAATACAGTTTTCAACGTTTGTAGGTCCCAAAGTACTCCGGAATCGGAATCGGAATCGTCATGGCTGGTCGGAGGATCGGCCAAATGGAATATAAATATGTTGACATGCCTGAGTCGAGGCATCCGCCAGATGTCGACTAGTAATGGATAAATATGAACATAATCAAGTTGTAAAGTCTGTAAATTCCAAAGGTGGTAGAATGAAGGAGTCAACCGGCCAGTCTTCAGTAGGCTGGCTGGGACCACGAGGTGGCGAGAGTTGACCAGGCGAAAGATATCTTCTAAAGGATATGTGTATTCCGGAACATAATAATATTGGGGGTTGGTCCGGTGGAACACCCTCAATAATGGGGAAGGGCGTAATCGGTCGACATTACAAATCAACGAACGAGCGAGTTTTGCGGATCGCGCGATGTTACGAGCTTCCGAGGTGATGTGATTGCTGCTACTCGATTCTCGTCTATGAATAGCAATTCGGCGTTGAGTGTGCCAATTTTGCCCCTGGTTAGGACCATGTGTGGTTGCCACACGGAAGAACATTTCCTTCTCAGCTTCCTTTATGCATAAGTCTCTAACGAGATCATGGATTCTGAAGCGTTTTATATTTCCCTTGTACCCAAATTCATGAACTAGAACGAGATTTCTTTCGAAAAGATCCTTCAAGTACTCTCTGCCAGCTAACTCTAGGGTTTTATCGCTAATCGGTTTTAGAAACCCTTCTGCAACCCAGAGCTTGACGAGTGTCGAAGCACTGATCAAATCATCCTCGGAGAATAATCCCAGGTAAAGAAAACACGGCTTTAGATGGACCGGCAAATGATTGTAGCTCAAACGTAGTATTCTCAAGCAACGTTCATTCTCATCTAAATTCACCACTGAATTCAAATTTTCTGCAATGTACTGCCAGTGTTCTCGTGTTTGGTTGGAATTTGCAAGGAGTCCACAGACCACGACGATCGACAATGGAAGGCCTTTGCAGTTTTTCGAAATCTGCAATCCAATTTCTTCCAAATCCGGAGGGCAATCATGTTCTCCAAACACACTTTTCTGGAACAAGTTCCAACTGTTATCCTCATCCAAAAAACCCACTTCAAGGACACAAGAACCGCTCAACTCATGAGCCAGATTTGACAGCCTTGTGGTTATCACTATTCTACTTCCATCATTGTAATCGGGAAAGAAGAACTTAATCCTATCCCACGCCTCGATGTTCCACATGTCATCCATCACAATCAAATACCTTTGACCTGATAGACTTTTGTATAATTTTTCTCCTAATTCATGCTCCTCCATTTGTCCCAATTTTTCCCTGCTCCAAACAGTTTTGAGGCAGACAAGGATTTCTACAAGAATCTCTTTCGAATCATATTCTTGAGAAATCGTGGCCCAACCACGAAAATCAAAGTGTTGCACAATAAGCGGATTCACATATATATTCTTAGCAAGAGTGGTCTTACCAATTCCACCCATGCCAACAATGGGGATGATCTGGCGACTCGATTGTTGTCCAGTCAGCTTATCCAAGGCTTCAAGCAAGATATCATCGAGACCCACCATGGCAGCTTGCGTTCGGGGAGGAGATCTCGGCCGGCCAGCTGGCGTAGAATAATTTCTTTCCACCTGCGTTCTTTTCTGCTTCATAATCTCCACAAGGTCTCCCTTGATCAAATCCAAGTCTTGCATCACTTTTTCTAGACCATGATACAATTCAATGGGACTTAATAAATTTTCTTCATGACTCGGGGTCGGGGTTTTGCATAAGCCTCGAAAGAATCTAATGAAAGTGATGAATTTGCCCTCATTAGTGGCATTTGCAGCTTGAATTTGATGGACAATATGGGATTCGATTAAATCCTCTGCTTCATAAGCAGCGTCGGCTATACGACCCTCCAAACCCTCTACATCAATTGAATGATTCTCGAGAAACTCTTGCAAGTAAATGAGTTTTTCAGTAAGGAATTGAAGCTGTGTAAAGTGGAGAGAAATTGGAGGGGAAGGATGAGTTTGGATTTGGTCTATGCTATGCTTTAGAGAAAGCACAGCTGCATAAGCCGCCATCTCTAATTAATTCAGCTCTATTTGATGCTTCGGAAAATGAAGATGAGAATATAGTGATTATGATTTCTCACAAGATATTGGATAGATATTGGACGAATGGACGGAGAATGTAGAGTTGGGGCCCACATGTATTGCTTTATAATTTTATCCTATTGCAAGATAACTATAATATAGAAAAAATTGAGGACCCATACATGGGTAGAGCTACTAGTATCCAAAATATTTAAATATGTATTTTTTTATTATTCAAAACTAGTACGTGGCTCATGCATGAATTAAAATAATATTACGATTGTAATATAAATTATATATAAATAACATTACTCATAATTTATCCATTGTTTTTAGATCTGGACTGGACTCTAAAGTTCGATTGGATAACCTGGGAACTAATTTATTTAGATGGACTGGGAACCAATTTATCTGACACTATGACCCAATACCAACATGAGTTATTATATGAATGAACCCAATTTATTCAAATGGACCATAGACCGAGAACCGATTTATCAACACGAGTTATTACATAACATAGATATTGAATATCAATTAATGTTTTTGTAGTATATTATTCATAAATTATTAAATATCATAAATGGACGGTATTAGAACAAAGATAATGCTTTAAAAATAATATATATATTCTCATCTTTTATATATAACTTAAGATAATTGTAACAATTATTATCTTATATATTTTTAGACAATTATTTATAATTCAATTTGAGTAATCTTGCAATAATTAATCATTATAGTTATTAAAAAAATATTTTCCTTATGCTTTTAAAGAAAGATTATTTTCAAAAAAATATAATGTTAAAAATGGAAAAAAAAAAGAAACAAAAATCTACAACTTTCAATTCCAGTCTCAACTACATAGTACACACTCCTTTGCAAGCAATACCACTATTGTGTGCCAGGGCAATTATGCACGCGCCATTCATCCCCTAAAAACCAAAAAAAAATGAGAGATTGCAGTACGCATGCCACTTTTCTTTTCTTTTTTTTTTAATTGAAAATGAGACATATTAGATAAATTAAAATATCATTAATGATTTATATTAAAATAAAAAAAATAAAAAAACCAAAATTCATAATTTTTCATTCTCTATAAATAGAGACCACATTTGATATGTTTTTGAACATAATAAATCTTTTTTTTCGTAATCAATTTATTATACTTATATAGAATGAACATGCTACATAATAAAATGAACATGTTATCAAATAAGATGAACATGTTATGGATTACAGAATGAAATAATACATGTTCATCTTATTTTATAACATGTTCATTTCATTTTGTAACATATTCATCTTATTTTATAACATGTTCATCTTATTGTGTAAATATGTAACATGTTCATCTTATTTTATAACATGTTCATTTCATTTTGTAACATATTCATCTTATTTTATAACATGTTCATCTTATTGTGTAAATATGTAACATTTTTATCTTATTTTATAACATGTTCATATTATTGTATAAATATGTAACATGTTCATTTTATTATAGGTTTTGCGTCTTCATCTTCCAATAAGATAAATTAATTGTGAAAAGTGATAAATTAATTGTGTTCTAAAACCTATCAAATGTGGTCTCTATTTGTAGACAATGAAAAATTATGAATTTTGGTATTTTTATTTTTATTTTTTAATATAAAATATGAATGATAATTTAATTTATATATATATAATTCATAATCCAATAAAAATGGGACACATGTCCCTTTTAAAAAAGAAAAACCTTACCTCACGCGGTTTTTTGAGGGAGTGTATTTTACAAAGACTTTGGCACACCTAGCAAGGTGTGCCAAGGCGCACCTAATTATTTGCGCTCTGCAAGAACTCAACAAGTCTAGTTTTCAGTTTTAGTCTATGTTTATATTTGGCCGAGGTTCTATTTACAATAAAAGGAGTTCCATAATTATTTAATAATTATAAAAAGATTTTTTTTTCAAAAAAAAAAAAAACATGACAGTGTGTTCTAACATAGACCTTATGCACCAAAACATAGGGTCTTGATTTTCCCGATGGTCGCTATTACTGCCAGGCCCCTTTCTCGACCTTCGAATAATGTGTTTTCTCCCCCTGTATCAATATGTTCATTTAATAAATGGGCATATCTACACCTTTTTCTTCTTGTAGAAGCACCGAGCTCAACGTGACCCACCCAATTGAACTGTATTGGACCAAGTGTAATGCAAATTTCACATTCTTGGATTAATAAACACGAGAACTTCGTACAAATTGAATTTCAATGGATAAATAAAATATATTGGATTACAAATCTCTATCATTTTTCTGATTAATTTCTTTAGTAACAATCTTCAAGTGGATTTGAGAATTTTGGAGATGAATATTCAATTTGATCTTCGCCGGTCTTGATTTTTAATTTAAATAACCATTATTCGAGACAACTTGATCTTTAATTGAACGTTGTAATTTCTCAAGAACGTGAAAAACAAGAGTAATTGGTCATTGCTGCAAAGTCAATCTTGTATGCTTCCTATGTCGGTCTTGACTTTAATAAAGTAATTTGAAGGCTTGACAACTTGTTTTCAGATTAAACGTTAGTCTTGAACTTGAACGTGCTTGACTCTTGCTTTGAATCTTCAAGAACACTTGAATCATTTCAAGAGAATTCTCTATAGCTCTTGAACTTGGATATGATTGTGGTTTTTTTACCTTAGGGAGAGTCTATATTTATAGGTATATGAGAGAGAATCTTGGAAAATAAGGTTTCAGTTTGACTGGTCCATTAATTTTACAATATTTATCTTCTTAATAATTATTTAAAAAAGATAATTACATCAATTTTCAGTATTTATCTATTTAATAATAGTTATTAAAAAAATAATTATTTATTACGTTCTCTAAGAAAATGACATGTGACATTCTTTAACTGGTCTTCAAACATGTGACTTTTTTTAACTAGCTAACAACATATATTAATGAACTAGTTAATTAACAATTAATTTTAGGAATTACATTTAAATAATTTTCTAAATAAAATAGAAAATTACTAAATTGATTTAATATGGAATTTAACACTTGTAACCATTTAATTGGTTCAAAATTTAATTGTCTACACCAAGCTATCTCCTTTGTCAGGTTTTGCCTAAAGAGGTAACTTAACCGTTACTACCTTCAATTCATTGAACGCTAGTTGTGCTTCCTCAGTCCATGCAAACTTCGAGCTTTTTTTTTTAATGTTCTAAAGGAATGGCAGCTTCTCTTAGCTACCTTAGAAATGAAACGACGTAGACATGTTATTCTTCCTGTCACTTGTAACTCTTTTATACTTTTCCGTGTCTCATTTCTAAAACAACTCGCACTTTCCGGATTGACCTCTGACCCTCTTGGTGACCATGTAACCGAAGAATTTCTCTGACTTTACCCCAAAAGCACACTTTGTCATGTTCAACTTCATTTCATATTCTCTTAGGGTCTCAAATAGGTTGCCAAGGTGGTCCTCTTCCCGGACTTTAATCCAACATATTGTCAATATATATATCCATGTTACGACCTATTTGTTTTCGAAATATCTTATCCACTAATCTCCAGTAGGTAGCTTCTGCATTTTTCCAATTGAATGGCATTACTACGTAATAGTATGTAGACTCATAGTTCGATATGTATCACTACCTCACATTAAAATTGGAGATGCTCTTAGTTAAAAAAACAAAAAATATATAATTTTCATCCAATTTTTGGTTTGATCAAGTATTACCAAATCATATAGAAATCGAACCACAACATAGTGCCAGTAGCCAAATTTTGGTAAGCGAACACATCGGTTTGCTTTTTTGAAATATTGAGTTTGTTTGGTTCCATCGAATTTCGGATTTAAAAGTGAGCTCTAATAAGAAATGGACCTTATATCAAATCTCCAATTCATATCCACCACACAAGTTCAACTCGGCCCCAATTTGCTAAACAAATCGAGATGGAAAAAATACATACATAACTTCTAGTGTAGATATATTTACATAAATACAATTTGTAGGAAACATAATCAAAATAGGGTTAATTATTTATCTTTTTTTCATTTATACGAGATTGTGATAATCATCAGATATGGTTCTCTCTCTCCATACATTGAAAGTCATCTACAGAAGGCAAAAATCACGCAGAGAAAACAGGTAAACACATTAAACAGAAATATGATGGAAAAACATGGCGATCGTGATTTTGCGGCATGACTATGACCATACGGCACATTAGAGAGGCTCGGCATCGATTTCCGTTGACGGCGAAGTGCAGCGAGGTCGACTGAACGTCGACTAGCGACGATAAGAAAATCAACAGCTCCAAATCGAGGGCGGCGAACACGTCGACGATGCCTGTCAGGTCTCAGGCAGCGAGAAGCTTTCTGTCGCCACGGAAGGAGGCTGATGCAACGGTGTCGGAAAAGTCGAAGATCGTGGATCTGTGGTCGAGGGTCTGGCCGGAGAAGATGGAGACTGTGGCGGAATGCACGGCGGCGAAGTCGTGGGGGGCGACTGGGGAGAAGGAGATGGAATTGATGGTGTAGACGAAGGATTTTGCTGGGGTTGTTTCGATGTATTTGGGTATTTTCGATGTTCTTGGTCTGCGAAAAGTAAAGAAGAATAAGGAGGAAGGAAAAAGGAAGAGAGAGAGCATGGCTGATTACGGCGACACGACTCAAGAAACTCATAGGCGAGCGGTTGCGTCCCTAGGCTTGGGCTAGTGGAGGCTGACGGAGGCCGGTGGTCGCGCAACCTGGACCGGTGGATGTTCGGCTATTCTGTTTATGTACTGTTTACATACCGTTTATGTATATAAACTTAGCTTCTTCTGAGCGTGATGCCCAAATTTACCTGTGGATGTTCGGCTATTCTGTTTATGTACCGTTTATATACCGTTTATGTATATAAACTTAGCTTCTTCCGTGCGTGATGCCCAAATTTACCTGTGGATGTTCGATTATTCTGTTTATGTACCGTTTATGTATATTGTTGAAGTTTATAATCTTTCCTTAATGGTTGTTTACTTATTGCTTACTTTTAGTATAATGTTGCAAAATAAAAAATATGTTTATATGCTGTTTATCTTATGTATATATATATGTACAATACACGGTATGTGTGCTTATCTACCCGGATGTTTACTATACGGTGTAATATACATTAGTTAAACACGTATGTGTGCGTATGTCTCTATTTTGTGTTTACAACTCGGTATAATATACTTTAGGTAAACACATTACTTAAAGTATGTATGTGAAAATCTCTTAAAAACGTAAGATAAAATTACAATACCGGATGAAAAAAAATGGTCCGAAAAGAGCATTTTGATAGGTTAACCTCGTGCAAATCAAATATCCAAAAGCAATAGAACCAATATTCCTTCACTGAAGTTCACCAGGAAAAGGGGAAAAAAAGCAAAAAATGCAACAAAACATCATGCCAACAGTACCAACATGGTTCAACTCTCCATACACAAAAAGACAAACAGTACTCCTTCAAAAGGTAGGTATATTCTAACTAAATGATGTGAACTTTGCACGTTGTATATCATCAAGCATCCCAGGGGAATCATCGTCGCTCTCACAAGAATTTTCTTGCTTTTTAACACCATGTTGGTATAGCACATATGAGTACCTCATCCTCTCCGAGTCGGGATCGTAGTCCGTCGGAAGATCAAACTTAGTGATGAAGTATTCGGCAAATGAGGCAACAAATATTCCGCAATCGCTGAAAAAAAATCCCGTCGACGCTTACGATTTTTTGGGTCAAACTTTGGAATATCAATGACCGTATCACTGCCGTCCTTTGGCGTATCCGAAACCATTTCACTCGAATGAGACTCTTCATCCTCGTCAACATTGAAATCTGAATTGGACTCTCCTCCTCTTCAACAATTTTCTCTTCGACCTTGTTTCTTCGAACCCTTTTCTTGTTGGGGTCGTCTATGACCCTTTTCTCTGTGTTTGATTTTATGTTCGGAGACGAAATCGTCATCGTCGGTTGGTGAGAGAAAAGTCTTTTTTATTTGTCTTATGGTGAAGATACACGAGAGCTTAGGAGAGAGAAAAGCAAATTATCTTTCATGATTTATGATTGCATATAGAAGGATGAGGATGATCATCATTACCGAGAATCATGCACAAAATTAACTCCCATTAATTATCTATTGGGTAGTTGTATTTCTTGCTGAGAAACCGCCATATATCTCCTTTAATTAAATTACATTTGTACTTATAAAAATAAATTTCAAATTTCGTAATATTAATATTATTTAATAAAGGATTAGTAAGGAGGGTAAATTTCTCAATCGAGATCGTGAAATGGCGGGCTAGCCCGCGGACAGAACTGCACACAGGCCCAGACCAAAGGGCCCAAACCCGTTTTCACATGTACTCTATAAATATAGCGAAAATTATTAATCTTCCACAGATTAGGGTTTCTAGTTCTCGCCTCCACGAGAATGCTCGGTATTTGATTTATTTTTCGATTTCAAGCAATTATCTGTTCAAATAGTACAATTTAACCTTCTGAAAGGTATTTGCTGGTGCAAACTGAAGGTTTGTATGAATATCTGTGAGAACTCAGAAGTTTTGGTAAATCTGAATTTTTCTCTTAGCTGTCCCTTAACTTATTCACCGATCTTCTGTGAAGCACTCTCGCCCGAAAGACCAAATATGTCTTCTGCTTACGAAGTAGAGGATATGATCGAGTCCCATATAGTACATCAAATGCCAATAATTTGATCGACTTATGAGATTCGATTATATCCTCTGCCTCATAAGCTGCATCGGCTATACCGACCCTCAGATCTGAACCCTCTGCATCGATGGAATGCTTCTCGAGAAAATCTTGAAAGTAAGTTTTTCGGTGAGAGATTGAAGCTGTGTTGTGTGAAGAGAAATTGGAGGGGATGAGTTTGGATATGCTTTAGATAGATCAGAGCTGCATAAGCTGCCATCTCTAATCAAATTGAGCTCTGTTCTGTAGTTTGAAGTTTCAGAAAAGACTCATTCTGTAGAAAATGGCCATATTTCTTTTTAGTGGTGTATTACCACCAAAGAAAATGCACCCCTCTTCCATGATGAAAACTTAAACTAAACTACACAAGTAAACTTGTTTTCATTTTCAATCTCTGTTTTCTATGAACACATATGTTTGACCGAAGTCATATCACGACAATCGGAAACATTCGGCAACTCTTCGATTTCCGAAAAAAACGGAGTTCCAAGTCGAAATCTGTATTTCTATTCAAAAGTTTGAACTAGCCAAGCTATCCAGTATCCTCCACTAATTCTGACTCATCACTCAGCACAATATGAACCAGCAAATGGTTGTAGCTCAAACGCAAGGGTCCTTAAGCAACATTTTATTTGTCATCTAAATTAAATTCACAATCGAATTCAAATTCTCTGCAATGTATTCCCAATGCTCTCGTGTTTGGTTGGACTTTGATACAATCCCATGACTCAGATGCTCCATATGTCATCCAACACAATCAAATTACCTTCGACTTGATAAACTCTTTGTTAATTTTTCTCCCAATTCATGCTCGTCCATATATCTCAAGCTTGAAATTGAATTGTTCCTGAAACTGAATTTTTCCTTATCCCTACTGTAGGGTTTTGCAGCTTGAAATTGAATTGTTCCTGAAACTGAATTTTTCCTTATTCCTACTGTAGGGTTTTGCAGCTTGAAATTGATGGATTACGTGGGACTCACAAGCTGCCGGACCAAAAAGAAGCACCTCGAATGAAACTGAATTTTCCTCATCGCAATTGTTGGCCTATTGGTTAGACTCTCATGATTATTTGCTTACAATAAAGATATTCTGAATTCTACTATTAGACAGAGTCTCAAGTAGAGTGGTGGAACGTTACATAAAAAAATGGTCTCTTTTGTGCACAACTTGAATTATGCAACTAAATTAGCCCAAGTTCTGACTAAGGTCTATGCTATTGTTACCTAAATAAATGACATCTGACTAATTTACATATCAATTCCTTATTCTTGTAGAATATGAGTCCTACATGATAATTAAGTAAATCCCTTATAAATAAGAGATCCATACAATCTCTTTTACTTACAAAACATTATTGAATCGTTAACTAAATTAAGCGCTTAAGTGTCAACATCGAGACCCGACGACGATGTTGTTTTGCAGGTTAATTCAGTTCGTAATTCAGGACGAGATAGTTCAACCGAAAATCTTGATTGGTCGATAATTCAACCACATAAAAAAATAAATAAACAAATATGTGTATTCCATTACTATTCACTAATGACAAAACTCGTAAATTAATTAAACTGATTTACAAACCCACCCACATACACATCTCGTGGCACCACTTTAGACTTTACAGAAACAAAAACCGAAAAAAAAAAAAAAAAAATTGAAGTTGACCATGGTTTTTGAGACAATAATCTGGCTCATACATTCGGATTACGGCTTGGTCCGTACCAGGTACAGTTGACCAGGTACCTCTTGATGTTGAAGTTGACTTTGTCCCAAGCATAGGTGAACCTGTATGCCTCGTAGCCGTACATATAGTTCCCCTGGTTTATGAGGCAGTGATCGGGCTCATACATTTGGATTATTGCCGGGTTGGTCCGTGGGTCAACCGAAGCGAAACCCGGGCATATCAGCTGAAGCCTGTAGAGGTCACAATGGCACCCCATCCATATGGTCACCAACCATTGTGGCTTGTGGAGTATCGTGTAACCGGTCGGCTCCTGGGTGATTGTCGGTGGGCATTCCATTCCAAGCCCTGAAAAAGTACACGTCGTCATTCAACACATGCAATGTTAAGTAATTTCGAAGTCGGAATGTTTTGTGGTGCATTTTCCCATATATGTACAAATAGAGAAAACCAAAACATATAGAAGGTAAAAAAGAATGAATTGGGAGGAGAGTTTGTAGTCGTGGGAGTTTTGTTTATTATTATTATTATTAGGGAGTATATAGATAACCCTTAAACGAGATTGTCATCGTCATGCTACTTGAATAAAAATTCCCACACCCAAACGCATACACACATATATATGTCATACATATGTTTATGTTGTTTGTCAAGAAATTATATTTTTTTAATAAAAGTATTATATTTGTGAAAAAATACGATTATCTGATAGTTAGACCACAACACAAAGGAAAGTGAAAATGCACCTTGGGTATGAGAACAGAACAACAAGACCAGAGAACATAGAAATAATAAGGTAATTGCTCTGTGTGCCATTCTCCAACCTGTTTATTCACAAATATATGCGTGAGATTAATTATACAATATGTTTAACATCTCACGCTAATGATCAGTATATGTCTGTCTCTGGCACCTTTTTTGTCACTATTTATAGGGAAAATTATTTATGAGCGTACATTATGTGACAGGGAACAATTTGTGATAGAGCACTTCTGTAAACCATTTATTTTTTGAAGAATAGCATAACCTTATAGCCATCTATCTTTGGAGGTTTCCCATTCAAGTAATCACATTATATATTTTTAGTAACTCTCTTGTGAAGTAAGTATGCAACCAACCAGCATAATCATCAATCACAACAAAACAACTAGCATACATAACAAATAGTTTAAATATGTACAAGTAGTCATATGGGTGTAGTCATTGCTATGTGGTACACAACAAGAAAATGATTAAATTCCAACAAAAAATAAATTTTAATAGAATTTTCAACGGTTCAAATATGGGGAAACAAGGATTTCAGAAATTGCATATTCCAATGGAAATCCTATTATAATAAATTGTACGAAAAATAACAGTTGGAATCATCAAATTCTAACTAAATTTTGAATGGAAAACCTAATCCAACGGAATATTTTCATTGAAATTTTCATTGAATCATTTCAGCAGATGCTACAACATTGAAACATCCATTGAAATATATTATCGTTAGACTTTTCATTGAAATATTACATTTTTTTAGTGGTAGTTATCGGTTGATCTGTAGTACCATCAGATAATAAATATAATAATGTATATAAATTCTATTGTCAAATATAAATAAAAAAATTAAATTACTATATTCACCAAGTCTCAAAGTTTCAAGAAACTAAAAATAAGACTATCATATATTATGTTTTAATTTTTTAAGTTAATGATCTCTTCATTTTATTTTATTTTTTATTTTTTGTTTCTGTGTTGATCAGTATTTTCCTGTATTTCGGCTGATATTTTGTGCACAACTCCAATACGATTAAATATTACCGTTTTTTGGTATTTTGTGTGCATGTCTACTTGACCAATGGCCAATAACTACTAACCGGGATTATCGTTTGGTACAATATATATGATATTTTAAACATTCGATGCCAATTAAGATTTAAGGGCATCTGTGTAGAGACTACTCATACTACGGGCGTAAGTGTGTTGTATAAAAAGTAAAAACCCCTATGAGACAATAATGGATGTGAGCTTTTGTTTTTAAATAGTCCACATTATGCATGTGGATCGTTATCCGTGTTTATTAACACTTTTAAAATTCTAATATATTCAACTTAACTTATAAATATGTTTTAAGACTCAATAACTTTTTTTATTTTAATTCTTTTAATTTTTCATATATATAATATAAATTAATCATCTTTAATTAACCGTCTTCGTGCGCAACAATAATTTCCGTTTCTGAATCTCCATTTTTAGTAGTGTATATTATATAGTACTTAGGTGTTACCAAAACTATTGTAAATACATAACGACGGTGTCAGTGTCAACAAATATCATTCAAGCGATTCCGCGATTCTATATATTTCATATCAATGCACAACACATACATACACATCACATATCAACTACTCTACAACACGTGACAAAACAAAACAAAGCAAAACAAAAATCGGTACAAATGACTATATACTAGAAAAATATACAAATCCACATACATTTTTCGTTCAATAATTCGTGCAGTTGAGCTCGAAGAGGTCGGGCGTCATCTCGACCCTGTGCCACGCGTACGTGAACTTGTAGGCCATATAGCCGTATAGTGGGTAGCCTTGGTTAATGAGGCACAAATTCTCCACGTACTTTTGGATGATGCCCGGGTTAGTTTTCGGGTCAGTCGAGCCAAAAAAAGCGCACGACACCACAAGATTGTATATGTCACAATGACACCCCATCCATATGGTCACTTCCCATTGGGGATTTCCCATGATCGCATACCCGGTTAGCCTCTGGGTGATGGTCGGCGCGCACGCCCTCTCATCGCCTGGCCAAAAAAGTCGAGACCTCAAGGGGCTTAATCGTAATTTCGCCTCCATAAAAAAAAAATCAATGTTTTTTTTTGTGGTTTCTTTATTTTAATTGAACCGAATTCTTGCATGCAATAAAATGAAATGATTGAGATGATGATTCATGCATGCACCTTGGGTGTGAGAGGTGAGAAGCAAGATGATGAGGGTGGACAGGGGTAATAAGGTAATTTTTCCACGTGCCATCCTTGGCCTGTTTCAACAAAAATATATGCGTGAGAACAATTTACAATATTGTGTTTGTTGTGTTTGATGCCTCACGTCAATCTTTAGCGATTTTCTTGTGTACTTGTTTGATGACCATTTATATATATGAGTGGTGCTTCTCTCTCTTTTTNCACATTTTTGAAACTGCCTAGGTTTGGACAGAAGCGAAATTCTAGTAGACCACTATTTTCGGAGGCTTTTCCTTTTGGTAACAATGTAACTAAATGAATTCATATGGATGTTTGTGGACTGATGTTCGATCCGTAAAAACTGCTAACTTGCTTGTTCGATAAAAAAAAATATTTGATAAGGTTTGTTGATCCAAATCGTTACTTTTGGAAAAAGCTTCATATGAATAGAAATGATACATAAATTAACATATTTTAATATACTAGTAAGGGACACGTGCGATGCACGTGGGGAAATTTTTTGTTTCTTCTAATTTAGTTCACGAGGAGATGTGTGTTTTATGGTACTATTTTTTCTTAAATTCTCTATTAATAGAAAGTATGTAGTGGTCAGGATAAATTATTAATTTTTTAAGGTAAAATAGATAGTAGATGGAATTTTTTAAAAATGTAAAGTAAATGAACTATAGCAAGAAAGTAACAAAAAATTGTTCTTAAATTTAAACAGTAACTAAAGAAGGTTCTTAAATTTAAATGATCTAAAGAAGTAACTATGGTCTTCAATTCTTCTCTTTCTTTATGTTGATGATCGGAGAGGATGACTTCTTTCTCTTTCCTTTTGAATTTTTCCGCACACACTTCTTTTTAAGACTGCTGATTGTTTCATTATTCTCGATTTCAATCACACTATCATTGGCGTCTTCCTTCATTTTGTCAGCGATGCCTTTTTTTTAACTTGCTTTTTTTGTGGCGCTCCTTGATTTTTTTGCAGATCACTTGGAGATTTGGGAGATTCTGATGACCTTTCGTTCATGTTATCATCATTGGTAGGTTCTAATCTTGCTATTGCTTTGGCAACCACGTTCATTTCTCCTCTTGAGTTGTAGGACTTATGATTTATTTTGATGAGAAATTGAAATTCGGTGGTTGATTGCAAGCTCAAGCCTCGATAGTAACCGGATGATTCTTCTCCCTAATGAATATGGAACGGAATTTGAGTTAAAATGGAGTATTTGAAGATGGATTGGAGTTATAAATTTGTGTATTTGAAGATGGTTTTGAGGTATTAATTGTTAAATTTATTTACCTGCTCAATAGATCTAATATAGTCTGCAACAGAACACCCCACGTAAATCATCCCGACATCTTCGAAAAGTGTGATAGTTCCACTGAGGTTCCCTTCTACGACATTTAGTTCCAACCTATATCTGCAAATAGTACAATTGTTTTAAGTGTGTTTTGTTTATAAAATAGGTGTAAACTTTTTGTTTTTTCTTATTATCTTGGAGTTGTTTCCACGACATCGTTGCACTTTTTACACATCTGGTTGACGTCATTCTTGTCAACAGAGGAGGTGCATTTTGTGCATGATTCATACCATAGAGATGTTTTGTTCATTACCTTGTCGACAAATCCTCTTAAACAATAGTTCTTTCCCAGTAATTGGAAACCATTTTTATGGATATAAATATCTCAACCAAAGAATATGTTGGTTATTTATGATATTTGTTAATTTTACCTCAATTATGTCTGCACGATTGTAGTAAATCTGTTGCAAGGTGATCCTATCCAAATCCTTCATTTTTCGTGCCATTGACATTTCCATTATATTTACAGGCCTGCCATGTGTTTGTAACCTAAAAAAAAAATACAAAAAGTAAGTGGTAATTTTATTTTTAAGTAAAGTGTGATATTTTTTAATATTGTATCAAGAATTTAGAGGATACCATATACGCATACGGTTGTTTTCCTCACACGCCGTGTTTATTTGCAGAAGAGATGTTGCATTTGCAGTTGGCCTAATAAATTAAATGTGAACAATATAAGAACAAAAGATGATACATAATAGTTTTGTACGGGAGAGTAAAATTCGAATAAATACTCCTTGCAATATGTATGATTGTAATTACTAATTATAAATTAAACACTCACTGCATTACTCCAAAAAATTAAATAATTGAAAAGAACATTGTTTTTATATGTGAATAACAATTTAAATCATGTAATTGTAATTAATTTGAACATGCATGATAATTGTGTATCACTACATAATTTAATGTAGAGAACGTTATACACACAATTATGTACAAACATAATCTAAGGCATTATAAAAATAATAGTATTGTTTATGTAATAGTTTTTTATGTTACCATTGTAGATCTTTGGTGATATCCAATTGCTAATTGCAATAAATGGCCTCTCTTCAACCATATTTTGTACAATAGATCCTTCATTTTGAGCCATGTCATCCCATAAAGAGACAATAATGGATCGATACCTACAAATACAATCAATTTAAAACTTTGTTATTATTATTAATATTTTGTAAATTATAAATAATTTATGTTTGAAGTGTATTTATGGGAGTTTTTCTATTATATATATCTATAAATGTATTACAAGTATACAGCTTAATATTAATATTTTAATAAAGCATTGTAAATTTGTAAGGTAAAAACATATGTACTCTTGGTCCATAATTATTATCTCTCTTATGGTTGTTTTTGCTCCGGTTTCTTTTGTCACCATATTTTCCTTAGGCTTCATTACAATCCCACATATGTCTGGAGAAAAATATAAATGTAATTATATTAATAGAGTGGAGTTTATAAAAATCTAGTTTTTGCACATTGTACAATATATACATACCAATTTTTTTGTTCGCATGATTTTTGACATTGATGTTGTTGAACGTGGTGAAATTATAGGAGATATTGTGTCGTATATCTTCACCGGTAAGATTTACAGAGGTTTCGGTGGCCTTTTTAAGAAGTATTTCTTTCTCTGGATGAATGGCCATTTGTGCAAAAGTGGGATTGACTTTTCCAACTTCAGCATTAGTGATTGAATACGTGTTGTTGAGTTTGAATTTGTTGGCGTATTCATCAATATCAGCATTAAACATTATTACTCCAATTTGGTCTCCCTGTAGAAATATAAATGAATAAAATAAATAGTTAATCACAATTGTTTATCTCAGGCTTTAAATTTATAATTAATTATTACGTTTTTTTGAGAAGTAATTAAAGTACTAATAAAAGTACTTTATGTTTTTGTGTAAATCTTTACATGAATTATCCACTCAAAATCTTTATGTGCTGAAATCATATTCCAGATGATACAGAATCATACACCAAATTCACACAAATTGATAATTATAAACAATATGGACATGCTGATCAAGGAGAATTCAATTTCACTTTACAGAAATAAATAAATTTATTAAAAAAAATCAGCAATTTCATACAAGCAAATTTGTGATTCCATGTTCTCATGCAATCTGACCATCAAGCAAAATCTAAGACATCTAGTGAAGGGAATTCGCACGGCCGTCGTCGCATAGTATGCCTTGTCCGTAAAACAATTTTATTTATCTTCACATTTTTTTTTTTTTTCTTCACAAACGATTACATCTTAAGAAAAAATTTGATGACGAAATTAAAATATATACTTACATCCTTGTCGACCATTATCATGGAAAACCTTCGTAAACGTATAGAAAATCCAAAATTAACCATTAACAACATCCTTTATATGTCAATAAAAAACACCTGACTCTAGAAAATTTGTAAAATAGAAAATGACATTACTATAAGTTTGTACTTCTCCACCACTGCACCAGCTTTGTAGTGATCTGTGGGACCTCCTTTTTGTAGAAGTAAATATACCCAACAATAAAAGTAAAAAATAGAAGCAGTAAGCTTTTATCAGTAATATATATGGACAACATTCGCATTTCTCATAGCACTCTTTAAACAGACCAATAACTTAGACGAACATCCAGAAATCGCATATTGAGAAAGAATCCCAGTATTGGAATCCAAAATGAAATAAAAACCATTGGAATTTAAAAGAGGGTTCAATATAATACATATCCCAATATAATACACCTCTCCCCATCTCTGATACTGTCATGTTCATCAAAAATTAAATTAAAAATATATATTATTTCAGCAAAAATATAAATATAAATACAAATAAAATACAAACAGGTTATGCAAATTATTAGATTAAAATTACCTTATGCAGTATCAGAAACTCCAGTGGCTTCACTCAAAATGAAACCAACTTTTTTCAACAAACCAAGCTTCTCAATCTCCACAGAAATGCGTCCCTGAAATCTATTAAATCTATTATTACAGAGCAACTTAGAATTTTATTTTGTTTATAAGAAAGTAAAGTAAAAAGACATCTCATTACAAGAGATAAATTTTGAACTTAAGCAAAATACCTCAGTTCAACCTTTATTAGATAATCAACAGTAAATGCATATCTTTGGAGGTCATGAGAATATGCTGCAAACCCAAATGTTTCAATATGAGGTGAATAACAATACCAAGCATTTTGAACTGAAAATTTGAGCACTTCCTATCAAGACTAAAAGAGCTAAGGCGAAATTCAAACTGTTGTTTTTAATTGTTTTTTCGTTCTTTTCTTGATGACCTGGCCTCGGGGTATAACAGTATTTGGTAGAAAATTGGACAACTGAGATTTTATTGATTCTAACGAACTAAAACAGAGCAACTGAGATTTTATTGATTCTAAAGAACTAAAATAGAGCTGCTACATATGAATCAAATAAATGAAATATATTATTCTTGTTCAAAACCAAGCACTTCGAGATTTAAGAATTCGATAATCCGATAACCAAGATGTATAAAATAATGGACAGATCCCAAGAAGCCATATCTAAATCATGTAAGTAATGAAAATAAGAGTGTCTGATCCTATGTCCGATTTCATAAATTTCAATACCGTGTATGTAAACACAATCATATAAAAAGTAAGCCTGCAAAGCTGGTTCTCTCACATGGGGATACTCCTAATAGCCAATGTTAATTCCTAGCACCCATTTGAGCATGAAATTTCCAAGTCAATTTAAGTGTTTGGAAATATGAAAGTAGCTTAACATTGTGAAACAGCTCAAAAAAGATAATAAAACCTAATTTGTATGGTCCACAATAACATATTTAATAAACCACTATTGTAACATTAAAGGGTGTAACTATCTTCCCTTCTCTTCCCTCTTTCATCAAATTCAGTTGATGAATATTTATCAAATATGAAATCTAACAGCAACAGATAAATTATAGATAAATTATAGAAGCAGCAAAAGTGAAAGGCAGTAAATAAAATCAACACACACTATTAAGTACCCTAACACATAACACCATAGAAAGTTAGAAACATGAGCATATCGGAATTTTTTAATCAAACATAAATACGTAATTTTACAAACAGATCCATTATCCGTGCCAAAAGAAGGAAAAAAAAAATATTCCCTGTAGATTCAACATCTAACAGTGTTGTAAGAAATCAGAATCCTCAAGACATTAAGAAACTACAATCAAGAAAACCGACCACATCCAAATATACAAAGAAAAATCGTATATAAACTTACCAGTGAGATTCTTAAAATTCCCAAAATAGTCCAACTCGCGTGGAGAGGATATTCGATCGATCGACGGAGGACGCGTTGGCGGGGCTGGGCTGGGCTGGGCTTATTTGATCCTGTCCGATTTTGTCTTCGATCCTGTCCGATTTTGTTTTCTTAGAGGTGAAAAACCCGGTTATAACTCGAAAAAAGAAAGAAAGAAAAATCCTTACCAGAGATTCGTGAAGATGACCGACGTGGAATGTCGAGAAACTCCGATCTTCCTTACCAGGGATTCGTGAAGATGACCAACGTGGAATGTCGAGAAACTCCGATCCCGTCGTCTTCTCCGATGGAAGAAAATCCTTACCAGGGATTCGTGAAGATGACCGACGTGGAATGTCAAGAAACTCCGATCCCGTCGTCTTCTCCGATGGAATTTTTTGGGGCTGTGCGCGTTTTTTTGGGCGGAGAGAATGGGCGGGCCGAAAATTTGGGGGAAGATAATCGGTAATGTCGATTTGTTGTAGGATTTGTGGACAGATAATTAGGTTTAAGATTCTATTATTATTAATATTAGGATTGTATTATTAATATTAAATTAAAAAATTATTTGGCAAAGTAAGGTTAATTTAGACAAAACATAATTTTACAGATTCATTGGTCCTTTTAAAATAGTAGAGATAGAGAATATTTTAAAAATGCTATACAAATCACTATTACAAAAAATTCATTTACAAACCGCTTGTCAATTTTAGTAGAGATGAACTAAAGAGTATTGATAACTGATTAAATTTAGCAAATACTAGAGAACTAATTGAATTTACAGTTTTGACTAACTGACGTGTGGTTATGCAAAATGTTTTGTAAATAACTGTATGATATAGGCACAAAATACTACAAGAAAATGATGAAATTCCAACGAAAATATATTTCAATAGAATTCCAACGTCAATTTCAATGGATATTTCAATGCTATTATTTCCGTTGGAATAATTCCAACGGAAATTTCAACAAAAATATTCCGTTGGAATGAATTTTCCATTGGAATTTCTTTTGGATTTTGACGATTCCAATGGTAGATTTTCTAATGGTGGTGGAAATAAAAACTCCAACGGAAATTGTATATTCCAATGGAAATTCCTACGGTGAAAAGCCGTTGGAAATATAGCCGTTGGAATCATCAAATTCCATCTAAAATTCCAATGAAAAATACATTTCAACGGAATATTTTCGTTGGAATTTGTGTTGGAATCATTCCAACGGAAGCTATACATTGGATTATCCGTTGGAAATTCCATTAGAATATATTGCCATAGAATTTTCTTTTGGAATATAACAATTTTTTTGTAGTGAAATAATTAATAATACAATTGTCTTTCCTAAAATGCTCATATTTTAATTTGAGAATTAGTTTTTAAAATTCAAAAAGTTATTTCAAAATACTACTTACCAAACAATTAAATTAAGGATTCTGACGAGTCAAACTTCTAATCTAAATAATTGAAATTAAATATTCTAATGAGTCAAATCTCTAATTCAAATCAAACCTCTAATTTAAAGCGCACAAGTTGATGATGCACATTGTTTTCAAAGTCGGTCTAGCCGGTTTGACTAAGAATCGATTTGTTGACCAATCTACTTCACTGGAATGAACAAATTGTCAATGAATCAGTCAAAAATCAATCGATCGATCAAAACTGCCCAAAAACGGGCCAATTGATTGACTGGTTGGACCAATGAACCAACAACTTGACACGTTCAATGATGAGTCCGATGTTAAAAATCTTTGTTGTGTACAATTCTTGCGGATACAAAAAAATACACATTCATGTGCAATGGGATTCGTTTAAATATTTTATTAAATGACCTTTTGTCCATTTATGTATTCACACATTTACATGCGCTAAGTACATTTTTTGATCGTTTATTAGGGGTGAACATGGGTCGGTACGGTTCGGAGATTGATAAATCTTCGGAACCGAACTGAAGTTCGGAGATCACTAAAATTCGATCTCCAGAACCGTACCAAAAAATCGGTTCGGTCCGGTTTGAAGATATTTATTTTTCGGTTCGGTTCGATTTTCGGGACTATCGGAACTGTTCGGCTCGGTTTGGTTCGGTTCGGTTATTCGGAGATTTATTATCATTTTTTAAATTTTTTTGGATGACCACCTAGTTATATTTTATTTTTTATATGTTTTTTTTAAATCCAACATTCATCAATACTTCATCATACTAAAGAATTTATTTTTAAATCAACTTTAGAAGTAACCCTAAATTTTAATTAAGACTAAATTCAACCAACATTGAAAATTTAAATTCAAACAAAATATAATACAGTTTTACATTAAAGTAATATTTATTTAACCTTCCATACCATGTTAATTATAAGATAAACTAAGGGTAAATATCGACAACTTTAAGTAAAACTTAATTTTATTTTTTTTAAATCTTTAACTTTTCATTCCATTTATTTTTTTTAAACATGAAAAATTCAATTGTAGATCAAGTATTACTAAACATGAAATATAAGTGAATCTTAGTTGTTATTACTATATTTTATTTGCATTTTAAAAATTCTCAAATTATATAGGATCAAGGTTGACATAAAATATATTAATAAGATGCATCTATTTTTATAATTCGGTTCTTTATTTCGGTTCTTCGGTTCGGTACGGATATTTATGAAATCTCCAGAACTGTACCAATTATTTTTTCGGTTCGGTTCGGTTCTGAGAAAGTCAAACGGTCAACGAATATTTTTCGGTTCGAAGTGATTTTGGTTCGATTTTCGATACGGTTCGAAATTCTCCGAATCCCATGCTCAGCCGTATATTGGACTTATTCCTTGAACATTATTGACCACCCACTCCAACTATTTTTTATGCATTTCAAAGACCATTTGTCTCATTTTAAATTAGATCTGGAAAGGAGCCGAGCTGAGAAACTCTGAGCCCTTATACTGATGCTCACAGTTCTATTCAAAATAAAATACCAAGAAAAAAACGCGGTATTGGAAAACATGTATCTTCATTTGGGTGAAGTAGCCGCAAGTAGCTGAAACAAACAATTTTCTCTCCAACTTCCGGCGAAAAAAACAAAAAGAAAAAAAGTAGAGACCAAAATTTGATATGGCAGCTTATGCAGCTGTTCTCTCTCTCACGCATATTATCAAACAGTTACAGCACCATCCAAGCCCTCCGATTTCTCTCGACAACCAGCAGGTCCAATCCCTCACCCACAACCTCACTTTCCTTCAACATTTTCTCGAAGGCTATTCCCATGGCGGTGGGGAGACTTTAGATGCTTTGGAGGGCCGCATTGCAGATTCAGCTCATGCGGCGGAGGACATAATCGAGTCCCACATAGTCGATCGGATTGAACTTCGATGCACGAGGCGAACTGAAAATGCAGACTCCATTGTTGACTTGGTGTATCGAGATCTGCAGAGAGTGATACATGATATGGGTTCGATCTTGCAAGAAGTTTTGGAGTTTAAAGAGAAATTTGAAATTAGTTATGTTCGGATGCAAGCTAATTGCTCGACGGCCGCCAAATTATCGAGTAGCAGGTCTCGTTCATCGGGACAAAATGCAATGGTGGGTTTCGATGAGGTCTTGATTGAAGCCATGGATAAGCTGACCAGTCGACAACCTGATCGGCAAATTATCACGGTCTCCGGCATGGGGGGCATTGGTAAGACCACGCTCGCTAAAAGTATTTACGAAAATCCTCTTATTAAGTATCATTTTGACATTCTTGCTTGGGCCACGATTTCGCAAGTATATAGTGTGAGCGAAATTTGTCTAGAAATTCTATATGGTGGAAACAGACAGGGAAGGGAGGTTTCGAGTGTAATGCACGAGCATGATTTAGGCGATAAGCTACGCAAGAGTTTGTGGGGTCGGAGGTATTTGGTTGTGATGGATGATATGTGGAGTGTCAAGGTATGGGATAAAGTGAAGTTCTTTTTTCCAGATAATAACAATGGAAGTAGAATAATGATAACGACTAGGCTGTCGCACGTGGCTTTTCAGTTAAGTTGTTCGTCTTGTCGAATTATGATGAATTTACTGGACGATAATCGAAGTTGGGATCTACTTTGCGAAAGTGCGTTTGGAGGGGAAAGTTGTCCTGATGTAGAATTGGAAGGAATTGGGAAAAAGATAGCCAGAAATTGCAGAGGACTTCCTCTGTCAATTATCGTTATCGGAGGGTTCTTAGCAAAGTCCCCACCGACTCGGCAGCATTGGGAGTACATTGCGCAAAATCTAAGTTCGATTGTGAACTCGGAAGATGGTGAGCGTTGTCTAAAGATACTGGACATGAGTTACAATGAGTTGCCAGTTCATCTGAAGCCGTGCTTTCTTCACATGGGAATTTTTTCAGAAGATGCTAAAATCCGTGTCTCCTCGCTCATCAAATTGTGGGTTTCTGAAGGATTCTTAAAACCAGTTCACGGCAAATGTCCAGAAATGGCTGCGGAAGACTATTTAAAGGACCTCATTGATCGAAACCTTGTTTTAGTTCATAAGTTGGGGTCAACTGGTACGATAAAATATTGCAAGATCCATGACCTCGTGAGGGACTTATGCTTAAGAAAAGTTCAGAAAGAAAGGTTCGTAAATATCGTAAATTCTGATTACTTTGCACGAGATGGAACAAGTAACGAGCGCCGTATTTGTGTTCCTGCATCCTCAACGGATATAAACTTTTGGCACCTATCTTGTGTCTTTGGATGGATACGTAACTTGCAAGTGAGATCCCTTGCCCGTACCTTAATAGGCGACATCAATCACTCTTTAAATATGTATAGATTTAAACTGCTAAGGGTGTGGAGAGCGTTCGATACTAACTTCAAACCTAAATCTAATGGCACCCGAACCAATTTGCGCTCGAAAGTAGAGATTTTTCAGCTCGTCAACTTGCGTTATCTTGCTATCCGGCTCCTTTGGAACAGAAAGGCCGATTTTCCTTATGTCGTCCACATATGGAATCTCGAGACGTTGATCGTTAGCTTAATCGAGTTCACAGAAGGCGGCGTCACGGTGCCATACAGATCAGCGTTGACTCCACTTCTCGACATTTGGAAAATGCCTCTAATTAGGCATGTAGAGTTCACTAAACTCGATCTCGTGGACCCTAGTGAAACGGACGGCGAAGATGGTTTCGTATCGGTTTTGGAAAACCTGCAGACTCTGCGGACGGTCAGGAATTTCAAGTGTACTGAGGAGGTTGTTAGAAGAATCCCAAACGTAAGGAAATTGGGATTACTATACGAGGAACTCGAGGATTTGTCATTTTGCTGTCTGAACAATATTCGCCGTTTGAATAAACTCGAATCCTTTGCTTGTTCCTTTTTTCGGAAAAGACCATGCAGGAGTTATTTGGTGCAAAATCTCATATTCCCATGCTCGCTCATAAAGTTGACTTTACAAGGGACTGAGCTCCGTTGGGAAGACATGGCGTTGACAACGATAGGCACGTTACCATATCTTCAAGTTCTCAAATTGAAATTCTTATCATTCGTGGGTTTCGAGTGGGTAACCGTCGAAGGTCAATTCCGTAGCCTCGAGTACTTGCTGATCGACTCTTGTGATGATTTGAAAAGCTGGAAGACTGATAGCACTCACTTCCCGCAGCTCAAGCATATTGTGCTTCGTAGCTTAAGTAAGCTGAAGGAGATCCCTTTGAGCATTGGAGATATAACGACACTCGAGTCTATCGAGTTGGAATATTGTAGTGAATCGGCTGTGTTTTCTGCTAAGGACTTAGTGGAGGAACAAGTGGGGCTTGGGAATGAAGGACTTCGGGTTCGTGCTCAAATGGCTTTCTGCAGCCAAGAGTTACAGAGATTGGTGAGTGATAATTTTCAAATTGAATCCTTCTATTTCAATACCCCAACCCATCAGGCCGAGTCGTCGAATGGAGTCAAGCCAGCCGTTACATAAAAGCCTGTGCGCTACCATTTTTGAAGGTTCAAACGATGTTCATAGTAAAGAGTGCAATGTCTGGTTCAATGTGTCGTTTTGATTTGTTTTGGGGCTTATGATATGTTCGTTCAGGGCCTCTTTGTTTGAGAGTTGGACCGTTCTTAAAACTAGTACAACTCCATTGTTGATTCCTACAGAGACGGCGCCAATTGATGTGCAGTTGCACCTCAAACTAGCTCTTCAAGATCCCTCAACCGTTTTGCTCCCCTGAGACCTGCAAAGACGACGTCTGGAGATGTTCTTAGCATTAAACCTCTTATCATCAAGTCAGTCTGTATGGAAATATACAAGAATTTAGAGAGTATAAAGTGTGATTAACCTTTACCTTTTCTCAATTCAACCTATTTATATAAAATTAATAAAATTATTAGCTTCCTGAACAAGCTTCTGCTCCGACTGCCCCATCTGCCCAAAAGGGCTACCCGTCCGTTACTAGACTACCTTGCCTGCTAGTTATTTGGCTCTATTCTTACCCGTCGGATTACCTATCTCATTTATTCATGACGCTACACGTGTTCCTTGTTAACAGCTTAGACCCGACCTACTATGTTGACCAATCTATTCCTTATTCGAGCTAATTACCATGCCACCATGCCCGAAATATCACATGTTCGAGCTCCTCACTGTCCGAGCTCCTTAATGAGGGAGTTGTACTTCTGCCTAAGCTGTCCGAGTTGTACTGTTATCATTTATCAATATGTTTACTTTTGTAGAAAATAACAAAAAAAACAAATAAAAGAAAATTTACATCATTGGCTTTCAGTCCTGATATGGGGATTGGGATCCAATTGTGCAGTCATAATTTAATGAAAAGAATTTAATATATGATGAAAGTAAAAAGTTTTATATTATGGCTTGAACATCTTGATTTTGTTTTGGCTACCTCTAAAATTTGGCTTTCATATGGATAATATCAAACAAATAGTGAACATGTGTATTGAGTCATTACCAAAAATAAAAAAATAAAAAAATATATTGTTCATTAAAGATCATTTGTAAAATTATCTTTGGTTGAACAAAAATGTCTGAGCGTTTTTAGAAGCAGAAGCCGCAAATAAGACGAAGAAAGTAAGAATACGGGATTGTATGCTAAAACAAGCTGCTCTGACCAGTGTCCATGTCTGATCTTACAAGGGCAAAAAAAAAAAAGAGGTGAATACTTTGAAACATGTACAGAACCATTTTTTTTCATTTATCTTGCTACCTGCTTAAAATTACATTACAGGAGCAAAAGTTTCCAAGTTTGCCTGGAACTTGAACTCGAAACCACAAATTTCGAAAATTAATACAAGTCACAAAGTTCATTCTGTAATCTCCTGTTCGACAATTACTCAGTTGTTTTCACTCGGTTTTCTAAAAACTATTTCTTCTATCAAGGAATGGCGAAGCTGTTTACCATCCTTCATACTGCAAGGACGGAGAAAATAAAAAACAGAGTCCGTAAAGCTCAAATTTATCTAAAGTAATGAAAATATCTCAAAGACACGCGTGCAGGCAAAGAAAAACACCAAACAGCATTGGATTTGGGGAGCCTGTGAAGTTACTGGAAAGGGAAAAAGGAAAAACACCAAAATACAATTTGATTCTTTAGGTTTTAGCCGGAGAATTTATCACAATTATTGTGCAAATAACTTCTCAAAAAACACTTATTTTAAGAACAATTGTTTCTACATATAAATTCAATTGAAACATAGAGTACCTCAATAAAATTAGTAGAAAAACTGGTTGCTCGGTTTTGGGACCTTGTATGTATAATGACTTTCGCATCGTCAGGTTTGTTCCTCCAACATCTCACCAAGCATCTCTACCCCTCTTTTCGACATCTCACCACCTTTTAACAATGTCGTGAGGAATCTCGGATATAATGGCGGGTAACCAGTGGGTCCAGGCATATCCTAGAGAGAGAAAGAAACCGAATTTTATATCCCAATTATCATAAATTAGACAGTAATATTTCCTTTCTGCTCACGTAACATGCAAAACAATGTAACTTGTACTTTTAAACTTAGCGCATCATTATGTATGTCGTATGTGGGCGACTTGAAATAACTTTTTAAGATATTTATTTCAATATATAAATGTCCCGTGTAAGTAAACAATACACTCCGGCTAGAAACTAAGGCATGAATTGAACATAAATATATCAATCCACTTTACTCAAGTGCATGTCTATGTGTGATTGGACACGCTAAATAGGCACATACTGTAGTTATCAACCTCACCAGGAATGATTGACTTAAACATGATTGTGTTCATATAGAAAGTTTAAGAGAGCAAAAGAGAAAAAGTAACCAAGTTAAATAGAAAAGACGCAAACCAACACAAGCAGATTAAAAAGAAAAAAGAGGGACACAAATGAAAATCCAATTATATATTTCTAATTTAATATAAATCCAGGAATATTTATTAAAACATAAACAGATAAAGAGAGAGTAAAGGGGTGATGAGGCATACGATGTGCTGAAAGATGCCTTGGCTCCCCAAAGTATTAGTTTGTGGCTCTAATGGCAGCTGATCCATATAGGTAAAAGAGGCCATTAAATTTGAATCCACATTGCAAAATAGTATAAATATTAAATACAAGTGAATAAGATACCAACCTTTCCCTTTTTATTTGCGATTCCACCATTGATCGCTAGCTCCTTCCCAGAACTCGTTCTTTTAGGAACTTCATTTGTGTTTGTTAATTTACACATTTGCCACTGCTGTTCAGATCCAATAACAGCATTACAGTCAACCACTGGTAAACCTTGGATTGTCATAGGCCCAGATATTTCGGATCTTGACTCATTCTCTAAAGGCTTATTCACATTAGCACACTGTTTCAGAGCCTCACTTATAGCACCAATTGCAGTATTGTAACTTTCTTGTGATAACGAGCCCTCTTCACCCAATATTATAGCCCGTCTGCAAAGGTCGTTATAACGTCTCACCTTGGCTTGAACTTCTTCTATCTTCTCACTCATGGGGATTTTGCTAGTGGCGGCATTTGTCCACCTTTGCAGTATATATTTAAACGGTATGCTAAAAATACCCGACATTTGGAGGACCACGATGCTGTGCCTGCAAAGATAGCCCTTGTACTGAAACGAACGACAAGAACAGTAAATATCTGATGATTTCGATTCGTCCCACTCCATTTCCACCATAAATTCTTGATTTTTCTCGAAATCTTTAACTACGTACAATACAGTCGAGTCATCTTCCTTCTCTTTTTTCAGATGGCAAGCTACTGCTCCAAGAACCTCCATCTGAAACTTCTTGAATATTCCGTGAGTGTAAACGAGAAACATTTGCTTCTCGAAAGGTGAAGGCGATTTCAGCTCCGGCGTCTCGTGCCAAGCGTCGAAATTCGCTTTGGCCTCCTCTTCGTATCTGTCTTCGAGGATCGTTTTATATTTCCCGATCAAATCTTTCAAAGAGGTCTCCCCATTGATGTACCTGTCGAAGAAAGAGTTCAAGCTTCCAGATCTTGAAGCTGAACACAACCCAGCATAACACACGTCCTTCATAAACGAGGGTACCCAAAGCTTTCGGTCGGCATACAGAGCTTGAACCCACTCGTCTTCTTGAAGATTGAACCTCTCAACCGATTTCCACCATCTTTTCTCAAACTTCTGCTCATCCCACGATCTGTATATACATTTGTTAAGTTTCTCCATGAAGGCCTCATGCCAGACGCTAATGCAATGTAGGCGCTTTGGTATATTTTCAAGAACATGCCATAAGTGGTAAAAATGACGAGTTTCCGGAAGAACCAATTGGATTGCAGATTTTACAGAATCACTTTGGTCGGTCAACAGCACTTTCGGGTTTCTTCCCCCCATTGCCAAACACCAAGATTGCAATAACCATGTTAATGTATATAAAGTATCATCCGCAACTAGCCCACATCCTAACAGCGTGGGCTGCATATGATGATTGACCCCAATAAAGAGAACCAAAGGAATTCTAAACTTGCTCGAGAAATAAGTCGTGTCAAAAGAGACCACATCGTTAAAGTACGCGAAATCCTCCACACCTTTGGCATCGGCCCAGAACACGTTCCTCAGCCGATGCTCCTCGTTGAAATCCAACGCGTAAAAGAATTTCGGGTTCTCTTCATGCATTTGGGAGCAGAACTCTAGCACGAGCTGGGCCCCACCTTCTTCTAGACTCAAAAAACGGCCCCTGTCGTGCTGATTCCTGATCACATTCTCTAAGCAAGAACCCGGGAACTGATAGGCACCATAATTTCTTGCTGTAGGGCTTACGGATTTCTTTTTCTTGATCCTGGCATCACTGAGGACAGAATCAGAAGAAACCCTATGGCTTCTGAAGAAATGGGCCTGAGCCGGTAAGAGCTCGTGGTTGTGTTCTCTCGTGAAACTGTGGATGTACCATTTGCCCTCGGGTTTTCGCTTGACGTGCATGCTGGCCTTGCAGCCGATTTTAGGGGAAGGCCTCGGGTTAATGGCATCGTCAGATTGCTGTTTGTTTCCGTACCTAATGCAAGAAAATTTGGCGTCAATGAATTCTCTGGAAGCCCTCGAGCGGCGGCTGCTCAATTTGGCAGTACCGAATCCCACAGATTTCGCGTATTCTTTGTAATATTCATAAGCTGCCTCGTGAGTATCGAATTCCATATCGGCTCTAGGCTCTAAAATCGAATTCGGCAACAAGCTACTGCTACCCATCTCCATTTCTCAGCTTAAAACCAACAAAGGATGCTATATATACACACACACATTAAGGGACGGGAAAAGGGTTTAAACTTTGGCTCAATTCACAGCAGAATCTGACCTAAAAATTGAAAACACAAAATTCAAAAGCCAATGAAACAAAATTTAAGCTCGATTGCCACAGAAACACGAATGCTGTGAAAGGTGAAACAGGGATTGTACCTTAAAATTGGATGGTTAGAGGTGTACTGTTCTTGCTAGCGAGCTGTTGACGAACTTCGATGAAATCCGTTTTTATGGGCACAGATAATAGATGAATTCTTGGAGACGCAAATTGGTGAAACCGGAAAAGGGAAAGGAAGAAATTCATCTGCAGACTATCTCCGCCGAATACTTTTTGATTGGTTGTGTTTTTCGCCCCATAAACTGTTTGATATAACATTTTAACCCCTAATGCTTGTGCGTGTGCCAAGTAGACATGGCCAAATCCAATTCGGGGCCTTAATCGCCGGTTTCGGGCCAAGGTTTGGAGGGCCCTAAACCTGCCATAGTATATGCATGGGCCGGTTCATGAATTGCCGGTTCCAGCCTGATTCATGAATCGACGAATCGGGTTAATTTTATTTAAAAAAAAATGATAAAAAATAATAAACAATGCAAAAGAAAAAAGATGAATCGTCGGGCTCTGGCTCGAAACTGGCCTGACGGTTCAAAAAATATATACGTATGACCCAAAACCGGCCCGACGGTTCAAAACATATATATACGTATGGTCCGAAACCAGCCCGGTCAAACCACGAGCCCGATTCAAGGCCCGTTGACCACGGGCCAGTTTCAAGTCAGTTTAGGGCTTGGAATGGATATAACGTAGTTAAGATTTAAAAAATAATAATAATAATAATAATAATAGGGTAATAAATTTAGATTTGATTTTGAGTTTAACGTGGTATAGAAATAGTAAAACAATGATTCTAAATGTCTGATAATTAAAAATGTGTGAGTTGATGAATATTAAATTTTATTGCAAAATGTGTAGTAACACTAATAATAAATTTTTATTGTTTAATTATATTGATAACAATGATGAGAGTGTTGAGTTGGATTAGATAAAAAATAGATTTTGACTTAAAAATTTATATCAATAGTTCAATAAAAATAAATTATAGCGCAAAACTAAACAAAAAATAACTGTTATCATATTTTTATCAATTTGAACTTAATATGTGTCTCTGCGACCAAGTCAATAATTGTTTCTCATGCAAATCTTGTAGCTCAAGGAAGGAAGCTTGACAAAGATCTAGAGCTATGGCCTAGAAGGCTTGGACATAGTTCTATATCTTGTTTGCAGCATGTAAGTTTAACAATCAACAACTTGGTGTATGTGATCCTTGTCACAAGACAAAACAATGTAGACTGACATTTCCATTGAGCAAAACTCAAAGCAAAAATAAGTTTGATTTGATCCATGTTATTTGGGGACCTTACCACGTAGAGTCCAAAACTAATACTTGCCAATAATAATCTTTATTAATGAGGATAGAGATTGATGTTTTGAGAAAAAGTGAAGAGCGTAATGTATTTATTAGCTAGACGAGGGTAATAATGGAAAAATATGTACAAAAGTTCAAAAACGTCATTTATTTGGTTAATTGTTGATAAAGTCAAAATGACATTTAATAAAAATAGGAGGTAATATTTTTTATATGATAACTATAGTGTGATGATTTTTCTAGAGCCACTTGGGGTGTTTCTTATGAAGTACAAAACAAAAGCTTATAATCACATTAAATTCTTCTTGCAAATGGTCATAGTTTAGTCTGGATTAAATGTGAAGCAAATGAGGTCTGACAATGAGACATAATTTGTGAGTCAAAGAATGCAGGAGATTTTGAAGGAACATGGGATTTTACATCAAAAATCATTTCCTTACACACCTCAGCAAAATAGAATTATGGAGAGAAAGCACAGATCAATTCTGGAGGTTGCAAGAGCCTTATCTTAGGCTAAGTTAAATAAGGATTTATGGCCTTATACTCTATTGACAGTTGTTCATATCATTAACTCATTGCCCACTGAAACCCTGAAATGGAAGTCTCCTTATGAGGTATTGCATAGAACTCCACCAAGTTAATTATGATATGCTCAAAATTTTGGTGCAAAAAGGAATGAGCGTTGTAGAAAGAAATTGATCCTCGAGCTATACCCTGTGTTTTTCTTGGATATGCTTAAGGTCTATGATCCAAATGGAAAAGAGGTATTCATATCTAGGGATGTGGTGTTTCATGAAGAAGAGTTTCCATTTTACTTCATCTGAGGAGAGAGGAGACTGAAGAATGAATTTTGCGATCCATTTACCCCCCGATTGGAGTGAATTCTACTGCAAATTTTAGGTTTTGCCGTTTGGTTAGAGAAGGTCTTAGGACAGCTTTGTTGGATGCTGCCAGTGAAGGGTTTATTATATTAATCCTTCAATGTTTTGCATGAAAGTAACTCTTACGGCGTGCTTGCTACGTGTTTGCAGCTTGTCATGGCTTTTGACTACGGCCGGGACATCCATTACCGATGCTCAAGGAGAAAAGAAATCCACTTATATATTGAATCGGCTGTAGATTGCATGGCGAAATATGTTAAGATTGTTTAACTGCTTCAGGCGACACAAGAATTAAAACTTGTAGTTCCAGCTTATAAAAAATTTACTTCTAGTTGTACAACTATCTGAATATGCATGTTTGAAGAACCAAGAAAAAATGAAAAAAGAAGAGTATTCACCATCACATTCACTGTCAATCCTATGTGAAAAATCCCTGCAATGTTTATGTACATACTTGATCAACTTATGTACAAAAATTGGTCACCAAACATTTTCCTTAGTTTGTGAGACCATTCAACACTGCCGCAGCTGCCTTCAAATCCTCGTCGTCTTGAATGTACGACAAGCATTCATCATCTTGCTTGAATGCAGCTCTCTCTGTAAAACCACCATTGTTGCTGCAAATATCAATTTTGCAAAATCCAAAAATCAGTCCAATCATTTGATAAAGCTCCTAGCTATAGTTGCATCAATTAGGAAAAAATTGAGATTTAGTCCCTTTAACTGATACCAATTTGATAAACAGTCCGTTAATTAGTTGATTTTACTAAACATCCTAGAAAAATAATCTGAAACCTTTCACCGGGAGAACTTGGTCGACGTGACCGGCTCGCTGAGTTCGATTTTCATTTTCCTTTTTGTTATTTTGCTTCGTATATGTAGCAGCCGACATGAATGAAGCAAAATAACAAAAAGTAAAACTAATATCCAACACAGCAAGACGGTCACATTGACTTACTTCTCCCTATAAAAGGATCTAAATTTAAATTGTTGTCCAAGTTATAGGATGCTGCGTAAAATCAACGTAATTAACAGACTATTTATCAACTCGGTGACTAATCTATTACAACAACCAAAAAAAACACCTTGGTGTAATATTTCCATGTGAATCAAATTTGAACCCCTCTTCTCTAAACCCATCCTCACAATCAAAATGATCATCAGGAATTGGCCTAATAATCACATCATCATTAGCACACAATTGGTATTGATTTTGAAAAAACGACGACGAAGTGGATTCGGCACATCCCCACGAATCCACGTCGACCCCACCTGCTGCCGCCGCCCGGCAGGCGGCGAGGTGGCGGAGGACGGCCTCGAGCTCGGCCCTGGCGAGGACTATCCTGCGCTCGAGGTCGCGCACGACTCGGTAGAGCCCACCGGCAGGGTCCGCGGCTCGGGCGTCAGATTCGAAGGCGATTGTCCACATGGCGGCGTCTCGATCGGCGGGGCCCAGCTGGCGAACGATTTTGACGATATTGCTTACGCCGTATAGGCGGTGGGCGTTGAGGAACTGCGGCTGGCGGTCGTGGGGGAAGTATGGGGCGAGGATGCAGTCGGGGGCGCACTTCCGGCGGCGGTATTTGCAGGCGGCGCAGGCTTGGGCGGTGGCGGTTGTGGTGGTTGGGTTGGGATTGTTGGTGGTGATTTTCTTGTTATTGTTTTTTTTGTTGTGGTCTTGCATGGCGAGGGTATAATATATTATATATGAGTGGGTTTTTTTTTCTTTTCTTTTTTTATGTGTGTTGATTGATTGAATTGAGGCTTGGTTTTTGGCGTTTTCTTTGGTCTTTTTTTTTGGGTATTTGAACAATATTTTTCTAGTTGAAAAAAGGGAGGGGAAAGAAATGAAATGTGGGGTGGGGAGAGATTGGAGGGGGAGAAGGACACAAGTGGTTTTGGTGTGGGAATGAGTTTTGGTGGATGGAAATTATTGAAATGGTCTTTGTTTTTTTGGGTGAATTACAAAATTTTGAGTTTTTATGTTTACATGAAAAGAGTTCACTTGTCTTTGAAATGTATTTATTATTGACTTGAGAATTGAGATATGTAATTTTCTTAGAAGTATTTCGAAACTGCACTTTCAATATTAAAATACTAAATATATGTTTAAGTATAAATTATTTTGATTTTACATAGTAATTTTAAGTTAATCGTCCAAAAAAACAAACTAATATAAGACAAAAATTCGTTCGGCGGACTACAAATAGTATTCAGCCAATTGCACATAAATGTAGTAATTTTAAAACCCAAACACGAAGACCTTAAATCATAATATTGTGCATGTTAACACATCATAATATGCATTTTATCTAATGTTAATGTGCATTTATTGAACTTTTTATAAATTATATAGCTATCTCACCTATTAAAGTGCAATTTATTAAAAATGATAAAATTGCAACAAGATCCCTAAAACATGACTAATTTTCAACCATAAGTCCC